TGCTCGGGTCATGGGAGGCCACAATGAAGGTGGAGTGTGGATGGTGGTAAGAGGTAGTACGGAGGAAGTAGGAGGTGGAGTATAGAGGGAGGGGGGGGGGGGTAGTGTGGGGGGACACACACACACAGTCCAAGGCTGCGGGTCACAAGGGGTACATACAAAGCTCTCAATAAGGGTTCAGTAGACGACAGGAAAAACATTGATATATTGTAAAAAATCTTGCCAAACATTTTTTTGTTTGGTGAATTGAACAAAAAAAAACCCTATTCGCAATATGTTCATTTTGTTATGTCCTCCGCTCTCATAGACGGTGTGAATTATGGAGCTTCAGCTGTGTATTGCAACTTAAATGGTGTTTCACTAACAATTTACTTTGAGAAAGTCATATGTTTGTCAGTAAATTAATCCAATCTTTCCAAGAATTGTTATAGGAGTGGCGGATGCGGGTTCTAATGGAAGCTAATTTGACGACGCGGTACCTGTAAGGGCAGTTAGTTCCGCTTGCCGTCACCAGATGGGAGGAATGTCGGTGCTAGGTTGCCAAAGTTAACTGATTTTTACGTTACATGACTCGCACAAAGTCTTAGCTAAAGTTGTGCTTGTGTCCAAAAAACGTCATAAATTGTAGGAGAGAACTACCGGTGCTGTTTCTTTAACGTTACTGCTGATAGGAAGTAAATGGTTATCTGGTAACAGACACCAACTACCAACCTTGAAAACTTGGCAGCAATGCCTGGCGTCTCACTTTCTACTCTGACACAAATACGAGGTGGCACTCTTTCTGCGTACGAACCAAGGAAACTCAAGACATTTGTTTCCCACAATTTTGTGACCATTTTATATATATATATATATATATATATATATATATATATATATATATATATATATATATATATATATATATTAACAGACAACACCTTGATACATGTATTAGACGGAATCACGTGTTTTCATTGGAAAATTACTTGTACTTGCCAGTAAAACATCCAAAATACATATCAGGCAACATTTATGATATATCCGACACATCTATGTATAGAGTACATGTAAGTCAACACTCATCCATAACTATACACTCGAAGATGACCCAGCCGAGAAGATGGTGTCGAAATTAAACTGAAACTCTACCTGAACTCTGAACCATCTCTCGCCTCTCTTTTGGGGACGAGTTGACTGTGTGAGTGTTTTGAGTGAGTGTTGCGAGTCATTGCTGTGAGAGCGTGATTCGTAGAAGTCCCTACGTCAAATGTCCTCGTCAATGGAAATGCAGTTGACTGACTTAACTTAAAGCATAGAAATACCAGCTGGAATGGTACCTCTCTTATACTGAGTCTCTACCTTAACTAGATACGTTCACTTAGCATCAGTTAGGAGACAAGGCAGAGTGTATGAGAGCGGGGGACTGACTGAGCTATGTAGAGCAGCGTATATGAACGATGGTGGTGCAGGGTTAGGTTAGGTTAGGTTAGGTTATGGTGCTGGTGCCGTGTTAAGGGTTAAGGTTGGGAGAGGGTTATGGTGCTGGTGCTGTGTTAAGGGTTAAGGTTGGGAGAGGGTTATGGTGCTGGTTCTGTGTTAAGGGTTAAGGTTGGGAGAGGGTTATGGTGTTGGTGCCGTGTTAAGGGTTAAGGTTGGGAGAGGGTTATGGTGCTGGTGCCGTGTTAAGGGTTAAGGTTGGGAGAGGGTTATGGTGCTGGTGCCGTGTTAAGGGTTAAGGTTGGGAGAGGGTTATGGTGCTGGTGCCGTGTTAAGGGTTAAGGTTGGGAGAGGGTTATGGTGCTGATGCTGTGTTAAGGGCTGTGCGGGACGGAGGATCAAGGGTTGTAGACTATCGTAAAGTCTATGTAGAGATAATTAAGGGCAGTGCAGAGAGATAGTCAAGGGCTGTGTAGAGATACTTAAGGGCTGTGTAGAGATACTTAAGGGCTGTGTAGAAATACTTAAGGGCTATGTAGAAATATTTAAGGGCTATGTAGAGATACTTAAGGGCTATGTAGAAATACTTAAGGGCTATGTAGAAATACTTAAGGGCTATGTAGAAATACCTAAGGGCTGTGTAGAGATACTTAAGGGCTATGTAGAAATACTTAAGGGCTATGTAGAAATACTTAAGGGCCGTGTAGAGATACTTAAGGGCCGTGTAGAGATACTTAAGTAGAGATACTTAAGTAGAGAGGGCTGTGTAGAGATACTTAAGGGCTGTGTAGAGATACTTAAGGGCCGTGTAGAGATACTTAAGGGCTGTGTAGAGATACTTAAGGGCTGTGTAGAGATACTTAAGGGCCGTGTAGAGATACTTAAGGGCTGTGTAGAGATACTTAAGGGCTGTGTAGAGATACTTAAGGGCCGTGTAGAGATAGTCAAGAGCCGTGTAGAGATACTTAAGGGCCGTGTGGAGATACTTAAGGGCTGTGCAGAGATATAGTCAAGGGCCGTGTGGAGAGATACTCAAGGGATGAAGACCATTATAGAGATAAATTAAGGGCTGAAGGACTAGGAGTAGGGGATGTCAAGGGCTGAGGCGTAGAAGGGCTGTGGGCGGGTGTGGTCGGGTGGACATCGGGGTTGGTGGCCAGAACAGAGCCCGAGGCGGGTCTACCTGGCCTGGTGGTTGGTGAACTGACTGGGTGTTGCTGAACTGAGGCCCAGCACAATGGCACTGGTTGGCTATGTTGCTGAGATTGCCTAGATCGTGGCAATGGTGTGTAGTTGTGAACATATGGTCGTGCAGATGGTGGGTGTGTGGTTGTGAACATATGGTCGTGGATATGAAGATAGATAGATATAGGAGTGATGAACATGTGGCTTGTGGCAGAATAGTTAAGAACGACGTGTACTGTATGGATAACAGTTGTGAACAGCAGGTGTATAGTGATCAAGTGACCTGGGTGTTCACTGGTAAAGACCCTCTACCCAGAATATACTCGTAATGCTAACCCAAGACACATCGGCCGTCTGTAATCCTCAACACGATACTATGGTCCCCAGTATTCAATATACGGTCCTAAACGTACTGTATAATTAACACCCTAAGCACTCTTGGTTTTCAATTGATCATTTAAGTGTAAGTGGCACATTAGGCTATTCTTAGCTTGGGTACACTTACGAGGTCACACAGCTCAGAACAGATCGTCTCACTGTTAGTATGCAGGAAGCTCACCCCTTCTGCAGGTCTCATGGTTCACATATTGAGTGTTGGCACTATAGAATTCGTAAATAGGTCGAACCTTATTAGTACAACTGTAGGAGTTTCGACTTTCTAATCTCACATGACAAATGTTATTGTGATAGTTGAGTAATGTTTATAATGTTTACCTTACTTATCGACCCGGCCGACTCTCTGGTGTGTCACTGGAAATTGTTTACTGCTGTACCTCGTGCGAGTAAATGTTCTCAAACTGTAAGTCTTTGCGTTAGTTCGGTCGACTTTACAGGTAGTTACTGTATATTACGAGTCTCCAAGACGCACTGAACTATTCTTAGAACGTTCGACATTATCTTTCACTCTTTACCTGCTGAGTGGTTTATTATAATAATGATTATAATGATAATAATAATGATAATAATAATAATAATGGGAGTGGCATGACCAGCATCAGGTCAAACAGGTAATAATAACAGCCACAAGTTTGAAAATTGAAAACAAAAAATCATTCGTACATTTGCAGAAGCTGGGTGTTGTAGCAGGTGTTGTTGGCTGGGACTCAAGATATCCCAATCACGTGTTTTCCAACTGCCAAGTCGTGGTATATACAGCAGAGTACATAACCTGACTGTACTGTACAAATGTTATGCGTACCAGTCTCCCATATGATGAAGTTCTCTCTGTGTTCCGTTTGTACACACACACAGCTACACACATAAACACATACACACACATTATACACTATACACACACGTATGATTATATTCTCCGGGATGTGTGTGTGTGTGATACAGTATTAGGTTTTGTTTATCAGAAGAATGTTCATTATTGTGAGTGAAACAAAGGTCCTGAAGTCTTACACCATCAACAAAAACGATGCTGCGTGACGTCAACTGTGTGTGTATGAGTCAGTGTATGTCATGAAGTAACTAGAACTGTGTACACATTTGTTACTGATGTTGCCCTTTAAATCTTCCTTGTTGACACTGACCTTGGTCCACTTGTAATGGCTCTGTGTCAGCTGGTGAGTGGTCAACAGGACGGCATTCACACACTCAAGCATTATTTCTTTCACACACTCAAGCATTATTTCTTTCACACACTCGAGCATTATTTCTTTCACACACTCAAGCATTATTTCTTTCACACACTCGAGCATTACTTCTTTCACACACCCAAGCATTAATTCTTTCACACACTCGAGCATTACTTCTTTCACACACTCAAGCATTAATTCTTTCACACTCATTTCAGTTCCATGACGAGATAATGGTAGTTGGGTTTTTCATTACACACACACACACACACACACACACACACACACACACACACACACACAGATAAGTCCTCCGCTCATCAGTGAATTCATGGCGGAAAAAAAATCAAGAAAATATTAGGTCTAAACGTGATGTTATGCCGATAATATCGTAGTTAACATTCACTACTGCGTCTCTCATTTGTCGAGGTATTCTACCATGTTCTTTATCATAATACCAGAAGACGTTTGAGGCCCACCACTTAATTTTCTATTGTGTGTTTAATATTTTGTTATAGTTTTCCTCGGTGATTAAAGATTTTAGGTGAAGAGCTAGGTCAATAAACTGTTATTTACACGGTTTCTCTGGGGAAGTCGTACGATAAACTACACGATAGTAAGGTGGCTGTGTTTCTTGCAGGACACAACAGTACACACACACACGATGGTTAGGAGCTACAGTATGTATACGAGGATACCGGGTCAAGTTTTGGTTGATGGAGATTGATTTATGGGTGACTTAGCTTTTTTAGATTGGGATATACTCTACTGTACATGCAAAGTTATAGGAACAATTAAGCGTGATAGGATACATACATAACCACATTTTACCTGCGGGTCTTCTCTGCGGCCTCAGATCTCTGTAAAAAGAAATATTGTATTAGTCATGTTAACTGTGATACACGAACTCTGCTATAATACTCTATGTTATATTATTACCTCAATCATGTACAAACACTCTATATTAGGAAAGTAAGTAAATCACATCTCTATATTTTCTCTGTATTTGAGCTGTAAGTTTTATTTCAGCCTTGAAGATGTACAAATACCATATGTTAAATATATTAAACTTCCCATAATAGTGGTGAGCAAATATTTTATTCAACCTTAGTTACTGGTGTACACGAGAGGCGTTCATAGTGTGTGTGTGGGGGGGGGGAGGGGGGGCACAAGTAAGTGTGATCCTTTAAGGGTAAAGCTCTCTGTTTACATTGATTTTAGGGTCCTAGATATTGTGAAAGTCTACTACACAACCTTCAAAGACTGCCCTGACAACTATGAACCCCCTAAGTGGCCCCTTAGCTAATAATTAATACAGAATATAATATTTTACGGTTATTATGATTCTTCTGAGTAAAATGTTTTGTCATCCGAGATATTCACAATGTTATACCGAAACTAAACACACAATGGTGTGCTCCTGGAGGCAGACACATTTAGATAACTACTTAGTGCAGCATTAAAATCACTGGTGCTGCAGGTGGCACAAACCAGTAGTCCTGTCCCACCACACCCGCTGTGTGCACGATAAACTTTATGTACAAAAATTAATAATTAATTGTTTCTGAATTATAATTTCTGTAGAGTAAGTTGTTGCTCTCCTTTACACGTTATAAGGCCATATTCTCACCCTCAGGTAAGTTAACACCGGTTGTCCTCTGAAGTCTTGTCCTTCATTTAATAGGAAGATAGTGAAACATTTGGCCACTATAGGTACTGTCTTAACCAAGAGTGTGCTGTGTAGTTTAAACGTGAAAGCTGTTACTTCTCCTTTATATTGCATCTTCGTTAATGAAGGAACGGCGTACACACACACACACACACACACAGTTTTAATAAGACAACATTCATATTCATGTGATTTAGATATTAAGTGAATTCCTAGTTAAAAGCGGTAGATTGAGGCCCAATCATGCATAACAGCTTTCCAGAGTAATGACTCGGCAGTTCACACGCTGAGGCCAGTAACCTTTCTCAAGAGTAACTACCAGCCTTCACTCGGTGCAGGAAGCTGGTAGACTCACCGCTGCTCTACACTCGTGTGCTAAAGAGATAAAATCGTAGTATGACTCTGACGTTATAAAGACACAACTGAGGTTATAATACTTTACTCAGATGAATATGGAACCAATGACTTACGCACACATCTATCTATCTATCTATCTATCTATCTATCTATCAACAGGTAATCAAATAAAAAAAATGAGAGACACAAACGTTCCAGCTATAGTGTTGTTAAGTTTACATCTTGACAGGAGGAGGCACGGGTGAAGGTGTGAAGTGGTTGGTACTGTATGTTTCATTTTTAACTCTGGTTTCCTGCATGTGTGTGGGCGACCAACACCACCCTATAGTCTAAGCCTCAAAACGCAGCTGTCAGTTTAGCTAAATAAGGATAACTTGTAGTTTTTATTGCTGTAACATAATGGTAGTATAATTAGTTTTCATATTTTGGTAATTTGCCGTTTCCTTTGAGATGTCGTTTACTACTTTAAGCCACATCTAAATTAATCTATAGGTTAGGTTAGGTTCGGTTAGGTTAGGTTATATTAAATAGACTAGAAAAGTTAGCTATGATGCTGATCATTGATTGTGTGTATCACGTTTATCAGTATGATCAACCTTATATACACACAAACCAGTTTAAATCTTCGAAGGAATAAAAAAAGAAGAATTATTTTTTTTTTATTTAGTGTGGTAAAATATTCACTCTCATCGTCCTGCTGCACAGACGACCGATAAATGAGTGACAACACCAGTAGTATGGTGAAGTAAAGGCAACAGCAGGGGGAGTTAGCCACGAGTATTGTGGGTAACATACATAAACATAACCAAGGAAGGCCGGGTAGTGCCGTGACCACACACACTCACTCACTCATCACCCAACCACACGCTGTTAATTATGGCGCGACAAACCACTCTTGTTATCTCTCAGTTAATATTGTGGTCGGCATAAAAAGTCCCTCTGACCAGCTACCTTATTTGTATACACGTTTGTTTCAGTCCCGTGGCTATCCCAACATTTTTTTTTTGCCTCAAACACCGCGTAATTCTGTTCCTCCGTCTTAGCGCCACGCCACTTCTTACCGAGGGACATCTTCCTTGGACTGTGTCAGGTAAAGTTGTGAAAGTTGAAGCTCGATTTGAGGTGTTAGGATCATTTGGGTAATTATAGGAATTATTGTCGCCATTAAAGCATTCCATTTGGGAACCTGAGTTGGGGTAGTGTGGTTAATTATTATTATTATACTCTGGTGCCATTGTGAACTACGCCATTACCGCCATTACTACCATTATAAACCACTCCATTACTACCGTTATTAACTACGCCATTACTACCATTATGAACCCCGCCATTACTACTATTGTGAACCACGCCATTACTACCATTGTGAACCACGCCATTACTACCATTGTGAACCACGCCATTACTACCATTGTGAACCACGCCATTACTGCCATTATGAACCACGCTACCATCTTGCCAGCCCTCACCACCATTACCCTAAGCTATTACCACAACAATCAACCGTGACAACCCTCACTACTACCACCATCATTATCTATCCCCCTTGTTCAACCTTCACCCCACCACAAACGTCAACAACCACCACCACACACCACCACTCACCATCACCACCCACCATCACCACCACCACCACACACCACCACCAACGGGGTGTGGAGGAGTGCGTGTAAAGGAGGTACTTTCTCTGTTGGCCTCAATACTAGTGAGGAGTAACCACGTGGGTAAGGCCTTCACCTTGGTCGTTGAGACGGCTTGGACATCGTGTGGTGGTGTTGGTGGTGGTGTTGGTGGTGGTGTGGTGGTGTTGGTGTTGTTGGTGGTGGTGTGGTGGTGGTGGTGTTGTTGTTGGTGGTGTGGTGGTGGTGTTGGTGGTGGTGTGGTGGTGTTGTTGGTGGTGGTGTGTGTGTGTGTGTGTGTGGTTGTGGTTTAGTGTACCAGGACTCGGTAGGTGGCCACCTCCTTGTCTCTTGTGTGTGGTTGATGGTCTGGTACTCCCACAGGTTCCCAGAGAACCCCTGAACTTCACACAGTCAAGTAATAGCTCTAGTTTATGTGTCGTAAACTCAGCCTGTACAGTATCAAGATCACGGACACAAACCACTGCCTCTGCTGCTCTCACTCGTTAACATAGAACTTCTTAGGTAAACAAATGCCAGGATCAGCCTTGGCATGACAACAAACATCCATCTTTAGTATGTAGGGACAACAAGTGTATGTGTTGTTTCCTGTTTATTGAATTAAATAAATTAAACGAAACCGTTGTAAATGTTTGTTTACGTGACCTGCAAGGAGACAAACAATAAAATAAAGTGTGTGTAGATATGCGTAAACTTTAACATCTGTAAACACATATAAAATAATTAACTGAATAGTTAAAATTTTATTGAAGTCAAACGAGACACTTGGTAAAGCACCTCGCAGAATGATCACAATACTAAGTGACGCTAGTATGGTAGGTCATGTAGTAAAAACCGGAAGGTAAATTCTAAAAAAAACAGACTACACGTTCACAACGATAAAGCAAAAAATCAGTACGAAAAACGACTAAGTATCTTCAGCTAAGTATTAAGACTCATCTAGTGCGAGGCTCTTTCACTAACACCAACGAGAGCCTCAACTTTGAATACGTTACATACCAAAAAAAAAAAAAGTGGTGGGCAAGTTCAATGACCCGGCTCCCTCTCCTGCCTCAACCACCTGATGATGAAAGCAAAAGAGTTCTAAACCACATGTACCGATTCAGACGGAGTTCCTTGCCCTTCGTGGGTGAAATCGACAGGTGTGCTACGTCAGTATCCAGTCTGAGGAACAGATGAACGCTTTCTCCGTCACAACCGGACGTTGGCCTCCCTCCTCGGCCAGTCCTTCTTCCCTCCTCCTTCGTTCTGCCCTCCTTGCACATTTTCTTCTCATCTTTTGACTTTCACACCTTCTTCGGCAGTTTCTCCCCCCCCCCCCTTCCCCCCAGCTTGGTCATCCTCCGCACTAGTGACCAACTCTCCAGCGGTAAGTTTATTCTCTGCTGCTTTATGGTTTACGGACCACCAAGCTGCCGCCACATGGCTACTGTCCGCTACATTTAAACTGGCACATTTTATTTTTTTATTTCTGAGATAATTATGTTACTGATTAATTTAGACATCTGACAATTGGTGTTGCGGAAATAAGATTTTTTTTCTCTCTAGAACGTCCCGGCTATTACTCATAACATTGTATATAGACTGAGTTAGAGAAATGTCAATCGCACGCAAGAGGCAGTAGTGTAAACAACCTTAGGTAGGTGTGAGTTTGTATGAAATGTGAATGTTTAGTGAGGCCATTGACTCGATGGCCAGACACCAAGGGTTATAGCCATGTAAGATAACTTTAGTGGAGATAGTGGAAGCGTCACTGAAGATGATGATGAAGTATTTAGTTTAGACTATTGAGAAATTCCTTACTTGCAGGTTGAAAGGTTTATCGTAGAAATTACAAATATTCTTGATGTTTCTGAAGAGTTGAAATTGATTATATATTTGTTTTCTCTGGAGAGTTCCCCCAATTTTACTAAAACTCAAATACTCAGAGGTTTAGGTGAGTTATTAAAGGTTTAGGTGAGTTATTAATGTTTTAGGTGAGGTATTAAAGGCTTAGGTGTGGTATTAAAGGTTTAGGTGAGTTATTAAAGGTTTAGGTGAGTTATTAATGTTTTAGGTGAGTTATTAAAGGCTTAGGTGAGTTATTAAAGGTTTAGGTGAGTTATTCAAGTTTTAGGTGTGGTATTAAAGGTTTAGGTGAGTTATTAAAGGTTTAGGTGACTTATTAATGATTTAGGTGAGTTATTAAAGGTTTAGGTGAGTTATTAAAGGTTTAGATGAGTTATTAAAGGTTTAGGTGAGTTATTAAAGGTTTAGGTGAGTTAATAAAGGTTTAGGTGAGTTAATAAAGGTTTAGATGAGTTATTAAAGGTTTAGGTGAGTTCTTAATCAGATTATCACGAGAGTCCCGCATGAGTAACTAGGACAAGGTCAACAGCGGGGTGTGTGGGTGTGTGTGTGTGTATCCCGCGGTGTGTGTGTGTATCCCTGGGGTGTGTGTGTGTGTGTGTGTGTGTGTGTGTGTGTGTGTGTGTGTGTGTGTCCCCACGGTTTGTGTGTGTTTGTCCCAAGGGTGTGTGTGTGTGTGTGTGTGTGTGTTGTGATGACGTGGTCTCCCCCCGTGTCTCCCCCTCGCTCCTTCTGTTGCCCATCCCTCCCTCCCTCTAGGCTCCTGCTCCCTGCTACCTCCTGCTCCTGCTACACCTCCTGCTCCTGCTACACCTCCTGCTCCCTGCTACCTCCTGCCCTGCCACACCTCCTGTTCCTCCTGCTCCCTGCTACCTCCTGCTCCTGCTACACCTCCTGCTCCCTACTACCTCCTGCTCCCTGCTACACCTCCTGCTCCTGCTACCTCCTGCTCCCTGCCACACCTCCTGTTCCTCCTGCTCCCTGCCTACACCTCCTGCTCCCTGCCTCCTGCTCCCTGCTACCTCCTGCTCCCTGCTGCCTCCTGCTCCCCTGCTACCTCCTGCTCCCTGCTACCTGCTGTCACACCTCCTGTCCCTGCTACACCTGCTCCCTGCCACCCCCTGCTCCCCTGCCTACACCTGCTGTCCCCTACACCTCCTGCTCCCTGCCTCCTGCTCCCTGCCACACCTCCTGTTCCTCCTGTCCCTGCCACCTCCTGCTCCCTTTACCTCCTGTCCCTGCTACCTCCTGCTCCTGCTACACCTCCTGTCCCTGCTACCTGTTCCCTGCTACACCTGCCACCTTCTGCTCCTGCTCACCTCCTGTCCCTGCTACACCTCCTGCTCCCTGCTACACCTCCTGTCCTCTGTCACCTCCTGCTCCTACCTCCTGTTATACTTCCTGCTCCTCTACACCTCCTGTCCCTGCTACACCTCCTGTCCCTGCTACACCTCCTCCCCTGCCACCTCCTGTTATACCTCCTGTCCCTGCTACCTCCTGTCCCTGTATACCTCCTGTCCTGCTACCTCCCACCCTGCTACCTGCTGCCCTGCTACACCTCCTGCTCCCTGCTACCTGTGCTCCTGCTACACCTCCTGCCCCCCTGCCCTCCTGCTATACCTCCTGCTCCTGCTACACCTCCTGTCCCCTGCTACCTCCCCTCCCCCGTGACACCTCCTGCTACACCTCCTGCTTCCTGCTGCACACCTCCTGCTCCTGCTACACTTCCTGCTCCTGCTACCTCCTGCTACCTCCTGCCTGCTACCTCCTGCTCCTGCCACTCCTGCTATACCTCCTGCCCTGCTACCTCCCCTACTACCTCCTGCTCCCTACCCACCTCCTGCACACCTCCTCTCCTGCTACACCTCCTGCTCCTGCTACACCTGCTACCTTCTGCTCCCTCTTACCTTCTGCTCCTGCTACCTCCTGCTCCTTGCCCACCTCCTGCCTTCTGCCCCTGCCACGTCCTGCTACACCGCCTCCTCCTGCCACACCTCCTGCTACACCTCCTGTCCCTTGCTACACCTCCTGTCCCTCCCTACACCTGTTCTGCTACACCTCCTGCTCCCTGCTATACCTCCTGTCTCTGCACACCTCCTGCCCTCCTGCTCTCTGCTACCTCCTGCCCCTGCCACCTCCTGTCCTTACCCACCTCCTGCCCTTGCTCCCCTGCTACACCTCCTGCTACCTCCTGCTCCTGCTACACCTCCTGTCCTTTTGCTACCTTCTGCTCCCTGCACCTCCTGCTCCACCTCCTGCTCCCTGCTACACCTCCTGCTCCTTGCCACACCTCCTGCTACACCTTCTGCTCCCTGCTACACCTCCTACTACACCTCCTGCTCCTTGACACACCTCCTGCTACACCTCCTGCTCTCTGCTACACCTCCTGCTCCTTGCCACACCTCCTGCTACACCTTCTGCTCCCTGCTACACTTCCTGCTCTCTGCCTCACCTCCTGCTATACCTACTGCCTCAGGTTGTTGTATAATGGCAACATACAACCTCTAGTTTGATGGTTTATCATAATACATAATCACAGTAGTACAGGTTAATGAACAAGTAAATGGAACAAAAAAAACAACAACAACAGTGGTACAACATTAGCACAACCATATCAGTACAAGTTAATGGAACAACAACAACAACAACAACAGTGGTACAACATTAACACAACCATAACAGTAAAAGTTAATGGAACAGCAACAACAGTGGTACAACTCATCAGGGTACAAGACACACCCTGGAACGTTGGAATAACACAATACGTAATTTGAGTGTCACCCCCTTGGCTAACAATGGTGCGTCGTCATAACACAGCCAAGGTGAACTTACTAATACGATTTAATAACACTCACTTCCGTCCCAGCACACAGCCTGACCCCGCAGTCATGTTTACCTGCAAAGAAAAGGAGAAGAATATTGTCTTGAGAACATTGCTTATAGATTGTGTCTTATTTACAACAGGTGAAATGATGTGAATTGTAACTTAAAATGGTTGTAGTGTGGGTAAGGAACTTAGTGTTGTGGGTAAGGAACTTGGTGTTGTGGGTAAGGAACTTGGTGTTGTGGGTAAGGAACTTGGTGTTATGGGTAAGGAACTTGGTGTTGTGGGTAAGGAACTTGGTGTTGTGGGTAAGGAACTTGGTGTTGTGGGTAAGGAACTTGTGTTATGGGTAAGGAACTTGGTGTTGTGGGTATGAACTTGGTGTTATGGGTAAGGAACTTGGTGTTGTTATATGTATCAGGCTGGAGAGAGAGAGAGAGAGAGAGAGAGAGAGAGAGAGAGAACATTGACAGTGTACATTATTAACTCGATACCTGTACACCTCCTAACAGAAGCTAAGGCAGTCCATCTCATAACAATAGTCTCAAGGCAAGTTTCACGTTAACAGCTGTATGGTAGGGTGGGAGAGTTGACAGCTGTATGGTAGGGTGGGAGAGTTGACAGCTGTATGGCAGGGTGGGAGAGTTGACAGCTGTATGGCAGGGTGGGAGAGTTGACAGCTGTATGGTAGGGTGGGAGAGTTGACAGCTGTATGGCAGGGTGGGAGAGTTGACAGCTGTATGGTAGGGTGGGAGAGTTGACAGCTGTATGGGTAGGGTGAGTACAAATCGAAAACCTAAAGAAACTTGAGTACAATTCCGAGTACCAACCAAGTAAGAGAGGAGGAAGGGGAGGAATATAAAGGGAAAGAAGAGAAAGATGAGGAAGAAGAGGAAGAGGAAGAGGAAGAGGAAGAGGAAGGTGGATCGTTAAAAACATCCATGCATCCACTTGCTTCACCCAAAGTTAAGAGCATAAAAAAAGAAAAAACACTGACCATGATAAAGAAGATAAGGAGGAGGAAGAGGATGAGGCGGAAGAGGTGGTGAAGGAGGAAGAAGAAGAAGGAGGAGGAGGGGGGAGGGAGGGGGGAGAAGAGGGAGGAGGATCGTTAGAAACTTTGATGCATCCAACTGGTTCATTCACCCCAACTCCCCTCCCCTCCCCTCCCCTCCTTTAGGTTTCTCCGGCCTACATAGGGGCTACTGACCCCCACCTAACACCCTCCTTCCCTCCCTCGCACTCTTTCTCTTTCAGTTTTAGCTTTTACTCTCATAACCGAAGCAGTGAGGATGAGAGCAAGAGAGAGTGAGAGGCCTCCTAAGATCGTTTTCTGGTAAGGTAGTGTATGTATGTATGTATGTATGTATGTATGTATGTATGTATGTATGTATGTATGTATGGCAGTTAGTCTGTGTGTGTAATAATGATAATAATCACAACAGTTAATAATAATAATAATAATAATAATAATAATAATAATAATAATAATAATAATAATAATAATAATAATAATAACCAAAACAGGATATAGTGAACGTGATAGTGACTGTAGACTGTATGGTAACTAGTATTGGCGGGAATAATCTGAGGCTGACTGGTATTTACGTATGGTAGCTTCTGTGTTTCCTGTTGAGTTTCTCTCCTGTGTTGTCGTCTTTGTGCGCAGTACTCCTCAAGGTTATATACGCTGTGTTTGTTAACCTGGTGATGTGTATGATGTATGGAGGAGCTGAAAAGGCTACTAAGTGTGTTGTCGTGTAGTCAGCAGTATGCATGTTATAGTGGAGATTGAATAAGACGCGTAAGCCTATGTGAGTCTTCTAGTTGGTCAGTTGCACATGAATATTTGCGGCTGACACATTTAAAGGAAGAGGAGTAAGGAGAAGAAGAAGAAGAAGAAGAAGCCATTTTCTATCACGTTTTCCCAGTCTATTATGTTCCTTCTTTGATTTATTGCAATAAGTTTCCACTAAAATCCCAACATAGGTGTTAGTATAGTGTGCTGGGATGCGCCATTACCAGCCAAGAGCCTAACATATTGACTAATGTCGTATTGAGAAATGTTATCATATTAATCTTTATTTTCGATAAGCACACACACACACACACACACACACACACACACACAGACAGACAGACAGACAGACAGACATACACACTTGGTTGGTAAGAGTGTAGGGTTGAGTTGTCGGTGAGCCACAAGTTGAAGTTAGGGCGTGACTTGGTTCCGCGATGAAAGCTGTCACAAAATAACGCCTGTGTATAAAAGATGACGGGATGAGGGTGAGTGTTAGAGTATACTGGTGTACTACGTCACAGTAATGGTTCGTACACTATTGTGAGAAGGCCAAGTTAAAAAAAGTGGTACATTAAAGTTGACTCTGATCTTGTTGCCCCCATACACACAAACAACTCTTTGTCCTTCATACTAATGGTGTCTGAAACTCATAGTTGATGTTTAGTGATATAGTGAGGGTCTCAACATTTTATCATCACGCATAGTCAGTGTCCAAAATCCGTACACGAAATGACCAATGAAGTCCATGCTGAGGCGGGACGCGGTGTAACGTGTTGGTGATGAGGGCGTCCGTGTTGTACATTCATTGCATCATCTGTTCATCTGCCCATAACTGACAATCTCTGTGTATTTAACTCCATACTCAGGTATAAAAGTTTTGTTAAACTAACGTACACATGTTAGTGAGGTTGTACCACGCTCGGCATGATCGTGAGTTTCATGTCATTGAACATGTGGGGAACAGCCAACACTGCTGGGCACCTCTGAGGGTAGATAATGGTGTCAGAAAAATAAACGTGTGTGTGTGTGTGTGTGTGTGTGTGTGTGTGTGTGTGTGTGTGTGTGTGTGTGTGTGTGTGTGTGTGTGTGTGTGTGTGTGTGTGTGTGTGTGTGTTTTGTCTTGGTGTCCGTATTGGAAATAAATACAGTTGAGAAAATTAATAACAGAGGGAAGGAGTTAGTTTAGAGAAGGCGTAAGTGAGAGTGTCGTGGTAGCTTGTGTAGATGGGATGGAAGTGAGAGTGGGCTGGGAGTGGTTGGTGATGGGTGTAAGTGAGAGTGGGGGGAGGTGGTAGGCGAGAAGGGGGGGTGGGGGATCTGACGTCAGTAGGTGCTCGTAGGAGATACAAATGGGCGTCAGGGAAAGGTGACGTGAATGTGTAGCGGGTGCAGACGCCTGTGGGGCTTAAGTGTTTGGAATTGGGTGTATATTATGAGGTATTTGGATAAGACCAGTTTGATTTAACGAGAGGAAGTAGTGTAGGTGGGGTGTAAGTGGTGTCGGGAGAGGAGCGGGCTGGGTGTAATAAGGGTGTGGAGATAGGGAAGGAGTGGGTGTCGGCGAGGCACAAGCGGGTCAGGGCCGAGGTGTGGCCAGCCCACGGTGCTGCAGCCTCTAACTCTGTCTTAAACCGTGACGCCAGTTTTAGCCTGGGGACAAAACCTCGCGGCAATGTTAGTGGTTACTTCATGAGTAAGACTTCAACCACCCACCTAGTACATGTGGGAGCTGCGCTGGCCCTCAACACCTCACATTAAACTCGGTGCTGTTTTTTTTATTTTTCTCTGGCACAATGGTCGTGTGACTTGTAGCATAAGATCTCTGTCGTATTGTTGTGTAGGTGATGCCACACACGGCTGCGAGGAGCATCGATATAAAAATTGGAGTGTCTTGTGGGAGACTCTTAAATATAAAACATTATCTTTTTCTCCAGAAGATAAAAGTTTCATTAGCCATAACCCGACGTATCGACGGTGTACGAGAGCTCCTCTTGATTATCCACAAGACAAAGAAAAGAAAAAAGAGAGAAAAAAATGAGTGCCGTGTCGAGGCCAACCAGTCTCCTCCGAGTCATGACAACAGCTACACCATCATGAGCTGAGACGCCACCACCACCACCACCGTACACTGCTCCTGTGTCCACGGTACTCCTGGGTGTCACAGCTAACAAATAACACCAAACTCTAAATATCCTAAAATTCTTCAAGCATTGCTCTGTGTCCTCAGGCATATCACGATGACCCTTATATAACTAGTGTATGACAACATGAACACACAAGGGAACATCTTGTAGAGGTAGACGCCAGGTACAAGATGTTTTAGGCACAAGGTGAAGTATGTGGGTCGGTTGACCGCCTCCCTCCCCACACAGTCACCAGTCTCAACACCAACTTGTAGGTCAAGCACTGTAACACGCTCCCACCACCACCACCACTACTGCTGAAGGTCAAGGGTGGTGGTGTTAAGGCCAAGACTACGATGTTTGAGGTGTTACACCAACACGTAATGCTTATGGTGCTTCAAGCATCGTTGTGATGGTCGTGGTGTTGACACTTTGAAGGTTACTTGTTTCGTATTTATGGTGGGGGGGTGTAATGGTCGTGGTGTAAAGCGTACACTTAAGGTCAGTAGTGGAATGATAATGGCACTCAAGTGAATGACCTTTAAAGTACATTAACAAATTACATAATGACTTTAGAAAACACTTGAAACATTATAATGGTGGTTAAGGTGAACACTCAAGCGCTAATGGTGTTAATGGTGTAACTGCCAAGGTGTTCACTGATAAGTATTGAGGTAAACACTGATAGTTGTGTGTTAATGGGTTAATAGTGGGTGTTGTTAATGGGAACAATGTAATAGTATGAAGACGTGGACATGTGTATTGAGGCGTGGACATAGGTGTCAGAGGTGGTGGGTGACAACAACAGGTGTCAGAGGTGGTGGTGGGTGACAACAACAGGTGTCAGAGGTGGTGGTGGGCAACAACAACAGGTGTCAGAGGTGGTGGAGGAGGGTGATAGCAACAGGTGTCAGAGGTGATGGTGGGGGTGACAACAACAGGTGTCAGAGGTGATGGTGGGTGACAACAACAGGTGTCAGAGGTGATGGTGGGTGACAACAACAGGTGTCAGAGATGGTGGTGGTGGGGTGACAACAACAGGTGTCAGAGATGGTGGTGGGGGTGATAACAACAGGTGTCAGAGATGGTGGTGGGGGTGATAACAACAGGTGTCAGAGGTGGTGGAGGAGGGTGACAACAACAGGTGT